AATAAATTAGGTGTATCTTAATAGTATTGCGATAAATAGCTAAAAGTAAAACATAAAGTACAGACAATGACAAACCATGGAATAACTCCATATTTTGCAGATCAGTTAAGAATGTCAAGAAAACAACTGGGGACTGTTTTTATCTTAAGACATTATAAGACATCTGTCTAAGTAAAATCACTTAGAAGCTCAGAATCAATTCCTTTTTGTTTCTTTCAAAGAACTGCTTAGGCCAAAACCATTTGCCTATGGAGATTATACACAGTACTTTCTTTTTGCTTTGTGTTTTAGTGCCTAAGGCTGTCACAAAGTTGTTTTTTTTTTTTTTTTCCTATCAGTTGAATTAAGGGAGAAATTGCATGTCATATTCACTGAAGAAACATTTATTAACCACAGTGCCAAGTATACCCTCAAGTCGATCCTGACTCATAGCAAGCCCCCCTGGGTTTCCAAGGCAGCATCTCTACGGAAGTAGATTGCCCAATCTTCCTTCTGAGGATTGGCTGGTGGGTTTGAACCTCCAGCCTTCTGGTGAGCAGTCAAATGCCTTAGGCATTCACCACTAGAGCTCCCAAGTATTGTACTACCAAAACCAAACCAAACTCACTGCCAGCAAATCGGTTCCGACTCATAGCAACCCCTCCTTGGGTTTCCGAGGTGGTATCACTATGGAAGTAGATTGCCCAGTCTTCCTTCCTAGGAGTGGCTGGACTCCAGAGCTCCTAAGTATTGTGCTAGTTAGCCAAGGCACTTGACTGCTAACCAGAAGGCTGGCGGTTCAAACCCACCAGCCACTCCTAGGAAGGAAGATGGGGCAATCTACTTCCATAGTGCTACTGCCTCAGAAACCCAAGGAGGGGTCGCTATGAGTCAGGTCCAACTTGACAGCACATAACAACAACAACAACATTCCTTAATTTCTTTATAATTTTTATCTTCAAATTATTACCAGAAATGATGTGTTATTACTAAGTTTCATGTATAAACATACCATTTAAAAAATTATTTTGTTTACTGTACACCATAGGCCTTCCTTCTTGTAATGTAGAGCATCAGACCTTGTCTAACTTCAGGGAAAAATAAGAGAACCATTAGCATCAGCACAAAGCTGATTCCTACCAGGTGGAGGTAAGATAGACTTCTACCCTCTGACGTTTTTAACTCTGATACTAGCCATGTGCTTCTCTACTGGGTTAAATAATTTGTTGCAATGACCACACAGAACAAACAGATCATACTCAATTATTAGGTTTATTGGGGAAGTAACAGGCTATAATTCAGGATCAAAAATAACTTGAAAGTAACAGGAACAATTCAGGAGTTAGGACACAGTCTGGCAATCAGAACAGCTCACAGCTTCTAGGCTGGACTGCAGGCAGGCCTCACTTCTCAGGCCTCTGCTGCCACCCTGGGTTGGGCAAGTGCTGTAGATCCATTGGCTCTACTGTTAAGTGCCTGGAGGCACCCCACTCCACCAGCAAGCCTCCTGCCAGAAGGCACACTCAGCTCTCTCACTCAGTGGATTGGGCAAAAGCCCAAAGAAGCTGTTTGCCTATCCACACTGCTACTGTCTCCTTCTACTGCTGTCTCCATCTTTAGAATTATAGTTCTCTCTCCTGAGTCTAGGAGGTCCTCAGCTCAGGGACCACAAGTCCAAAGGATGCACACTGATTCAAATTCTTCTTCCTGATGGTAGTGAGGTGCCCCCTGACCACTGTGGGATTGGTCCTTTTAAGCCTAGCAGGATGGCAAAACTGACCAATCCCCTAGGTAGACCACAGTCACCTAGTTTGCAGAGTAAAAGACCAATACTTGCAAGGGTTTTACATACCTTATTTGCATAGTATACTGTAAGAGTGTGGCCTAGCAAATCATCTTGGCCTAACTAAAAACCCGGGACCAGAAAGGCCACATATAAAAAGAAATCCATTGCCCTGCACTTCTGAAAGCATTTTACTATGCTGAGGTTATCAAATGACCTACTTTGGGCGAAATATTAAAAGCTGTATGACTAACTCAGTTCTGGCAAGTGCTAGAACCCCACTGAAGTCAACCTAGTCATGAGATTTACATTCTAGACAAAATAAACATTTTATGAACTACTTCCCAATCTTTTGAACTGAACTCACTTCCAAAACTATGTTTAAAAAAATTGTATTTATCTGCTGCTTATCCAAGTCAATAAGGAGCTCCGGTGGTGTAGTGGTAAGGCATTTGGCTGCTAATCAGAAGGCTGATGGTTAAAAACCAGCAGCTACTCCCAGAGAGGAAAATGAGGAAACATACTTCCCTAAAGATTTTCAACCTTGGAAACCCAATGGGGTCCACGATGAGTTGGAATCAACTCAATGGCACTGGCTTTGGTTTATACAAGTCAGTAGACCTTACCAAGTTTTAATGTTAAGCTGTCAACTAAACATGTTACTATCTATATTGTACATTTATTGACATAGTTTCTTAATGTGATGCTTAGAAATGTGGAAATTTAATAAAATGACTAGAGACATTTTCCAAGTGGTGTTTAGCTAATTTGAATTTATATGTAATTCTCTAGACTACCTCTTAAGGGGGAGCTCTGGTAGCACAGTGGCTAAGGCACTTAACTGCTAACCAGTAAGGCTGGCGGTTCAAACCCACCAGCCACTGTGTAGGGAAAAGATG